TAGAGCTTGAGGCTATGCAAAACGTTTCTTCACTACAAAATGGTTACACAGCACGCGGCTTAAATTCACAGGAGGATATATTATTGAATTTACTATCTTATTTATAATCATTATTATTATTGATGGTGCGTCTATATGATATTATATGTTGATCATTTGGAGATGGAGCTGGATGATACTGAAACTTCAGTCGGAAACTTTACCTGGCCGGATAGCATCGCCTGACATGGTGATTGAATAGCCGTTTGCCACACACAAACGGTGATGTTAATGTTTACAGAAGAAACTGAGGAAATGTCAGGAGCCCTATTTTGAGATCACTTTTTGCTTCATGCTTATTTTGGACCTTGAGGAGTCAACGAGAAAAAAGAAATTCAACACACAGGAATCAGAAATGCACTGACGCCTCGACATTTTGAAGCTTGCATGGAGCCAATACGACCAGCGGATATCTAGATATATCTAGATATTTCAATGGAAAAACAATGGCTTAGTAATTTAGTAGTGGTTGATTTTCCCTTAAACCACCTTAAACCAATCCATTGATGAATGGCACTGTGGAATTTCCATGGCCGGGAACGAGCCCAAAAAAGGGCCTGAAACGAGGCCAGTGCAAAGCGCTTGGGCCGACCAGAGCCTGGCAAAAGTGGCGCCGTGCCTGCTGAGCAAGTGCCAGTCACCTGGCATAGAATGGTGAATAATTTGAAGTTAATACTGGTTTATCACACTTAGTAATGGTTAATGATGGTTAATGGTTCGTGGTTCATAGTTCATATTTGTTACAAGGTGGTGCCCCATAGTTAAGTTGGTTTATAACTCCAGTAACTATGGTTTATGGCAGATATAACTATAGTTAATGGGGTTTATAAACCAACTTATAACTGGGGGGCACCATCCTGTAATAATGCTTAATAGTCATATAAAAAAGTGTCAACCCCGGATTAGACCATGGTTTATTAATGTGGGTGGTACTCCCCAATAGTGAGAACCTGATACTTACATGGCACCCGCCCAATTATATAAAGGTACAGGTCTCGCATCGGATCGCTTCGGGAGGCACTGCCGCTGGCACTAACTGGCACTACCGCTACCACAAAAACTACCACTAAGTACTAGTACGTGCTACCTCGTCTTGCTGCACACTGCAGCGATCCTTCCATGTGCTATACATTATGTTACTATGGTCCTGATGACAAGACTATATAATTTCTTGTGCCGAAACAAGTTCCTGCGGCTGCAGATACGATAATGTCTAACCTGATTTGTTACTGTTCCGAAGTTACTGTTGCTTCATGTTGCTTTTTTCTGGTACATTGACTTCCTACCCCCACACTGTTTTGGGGCCTGCTGGTTCGTGGTCAGACGTTGAAGCAAGTGTGTCGTAGTCCAGCATCGGAGTCCATTCGCCCCAAGCCTATGTGGAGTGGCCGGATGATGTTGGCAACAAGCTTTGGCAATGCGGCGAAGCCTGCTGGGATGCAGAGGGCTGGCACATGGAAGCAGCATGAGAACCCAGTGGATCTGACAGTGGGCCAAGGCAAATCTGTGGCTCGCGGCTCGCAGCTTGCATGTTGATGACAGCTAGTAGTCAGGAGGCTACGAAGGACTCGCAGATGGGACATGTCACATAGTGTCCGTTTTCGCATGTCATCAGTCACATTGGTGGGGTTCGAAAATGTTTGAAAAGCATGTTCTGAGTGCCCTTTGTGTAGGAGCTAGTCGGCTTGGGTGCTTCTTTGCCTTTGCATTCGTCGCCGCGTGGCATTCTGAAGCTGGACGGGAAGTACGCAGTTTTGATGCGGGATCCGCTATAGGTATCCATTTCTGGAAAGGATTTGCGACGTTTTGCGACTGTTGAGGCCAGGAAAATCATTTGCCGATTTTTGTTGAACAAAATGGTCACGATGTGTGTTCATGTGTCGTTGTTGAAGTTCATTTGGCACAAAGTGATTTTCATGTGGTTTTTCGCTTCTGGATTGCAATTGGTAAGCAAGCAAAGTGGCCACGCAACCCGCATCCACATACCAAATGGGCGTGCTTAGATTGCCGGCCATTTTGTCAGCAAGGGGGTTGTGAGCATACCTATTTGGGCTGCTTGGTGGAGAATGAGTTGGACAGCTCGCTGCCTTGGCGTTCCCAGACCGTGGTGCAGGCGAGGAAGTTCATCAAGCGACAGCCTCTAGATCCCTTGGCCAAGTCAAAGGCAGGCAAATGCGCCGTATGACCACGCAGCCTCGGCAGCAGCATCGACCGGAGCTTCATCTTCGCAACCCGCTGGCTCTTGTGGTGAGTCAGAAGGACATGCAGCCAGTGCAGCCCCCTCGTCGGCACCACCGGCAGCCCGCCGATGGAGTTGAGGAAGAAGAGGCATGTGGAGCTGCTGACATTGCAGCTGAGAAAGAAGTTGATGAGACGTAAGATCCTGAAATGGGAATTACTTGCGGCCAAACAGCAGAAGAGATATTGATTGGTAAAGAACTTTCATCTGTGCGGTGGAAAACGATTTCAGGTCGTCTGTAATTAGTTAAATGCTGCGGATGGATGAGATTCATCCGTTGAGGAGATGTATGCGTTGATAGGAACCCACGTTTCAGAGATTGGATGGAGGTCCGTTTTTATTTCTTCAGCGGCTGTATATTTGATTATATTTGCACATGTCGGCCCTGATCGTTGCATTGCATCGTGCAGAACTCTTGGAAGCCCACGATCCCTTGAGTTTTTTTAAGTGGTTTCTTTGGCAGGGATTGATTCTTCTGCGCCACAGAAGGAAGCACGAACTCCATTCCTCATCTCTTGTTTTTACCTTGCAATGTCATGGAGCAGAGGAGATGGCAGGTAGGTGTCTCATTTGTCTGTACTAGGGTCTGTTTGCAACATACTTCGTTTGGATGCAGTGAGGATTGTAGGTTTAATTGCAGAGATGCATGAGCGTTTTTGTTGTTTGAGCATGGTGGTCTTAGTTGCCGTTTCCAGTAGCACAGCATGCAAGATCATAGAAAGCATGATGCGGCACCCTGTGAACGCCATGGGGGACTTGCTAGTCACGAGCGATTTTTTTTTTGCCCCTGGTAGGCTGTCCCAAGTAGGTGTCAAAGGAACATCTGGTTTTTTGTGGATTGGAACAATGGTGTTTGCAGGCTTGGCTGCCGATGAGATCCTTGCGTGGGCGGAAGTGCATACCGATGAATGTTTAAGCATGCTTGTCGCAGACTCACATAGCTAACCAGGCAGTTTTCCCCAAAGCTGTTTGCAGAGACCAGTTGGTGTCCACGGAGAATCTCAGCTCTCCTGTGAGAGCAACATTGCATGTTTTGGATCACTTGGTGCAGCCATGTTTCCAAAGTCGAACACTCATCCTGTGCGCGTGTGAAGGGACGTTAACATCCCTCCCGCCAATACCCCTATCTTTAATGGTTCACAACCCTAAAAGGTAGTGATAGGTGTGGGTGTCGGTGGGCGTCCCAAGTGATGCGTCATCGGGCGCCCATGGGCCCGAAGTGATGTGCCATGAGGCGGCCAAAGTGATGCGGGTACTTGTTTGTATAAGCAGCCTACGTGCTTAATTATCCAGGGTTGACATTCATGGTTTTTAATTGTCAATCATAATTAATATGGTTAAAAGTAATAGTAATCAATATCGATTCATCATGGGTGTGTAGATGAAAAATATAGATGAAACATAGACTTATGGTTGAAATAACGTGATAAGCCCAATAATGAACCTCCAAGTTTGGAGGGCTTGTACCATCTCTTTCTGATAATGTTGCGTTTTTTTTTGGGGGGTTTTATCACATTGCCGGTCGTTTGCTAAACCATACCCTGTGTTATTTTGCAGCCTTTGCCCCGAGCAAACCAGCTGGGCCGCCTGTTGGGGAACCCTACAAGAAACCCTGGCACTAAAACATATTAGGGAATACTGTCCACGCCCAACTTGAATTCGTGATTGGGTTTGCTGCACTAGGCGATTGATATCCAGTTATTCATAGGGATTTTCGTGACCATTGTCATTCATAGGGATTTTCGCGACCATTGAAACCATTGCAGGGAATTTCAATAGTAGGACCATATCATGTCCACTAGCGGTTGTGTCATGGGACTGGAACTGAAGATAATTAAGCTCCTGAAGATCATATGCCCATGTCCAATTTTTTAAAATGCAACCACTATGTTTTTCGTTCTTATTATTGTAATCAGTTTCATTGCTACCGATATTTGGCATGATCAACAGCACTGAATTCTGAAAAAAAATGTGTGCATCAACCAGGTGGTCGGGATCATGTCATTCCCCCCTCAACTTTGCTCAGCAACATGCCGTTGCGAATGCTGGCAAACCACAGGTTGAGTGGACTTTCTCCAGCGTTTTCCTCAACCTGCTATATTTTGCTATCCCCCGAAGGGAATCAGCCGCCCGTGGCATCCAGGCTTCCCTTGGCCAAGTGCATCTTGAATCCCAGCTGTGCAGCGGATCTGACCTGCGTCATCGCCTGCAGTGGGCAAAAGGATGAGTCTAGCTGCCAGTGGCTTGGCGACAACGAGTGGATGGAAGATCTCCCCACCTTGGGATGCTAAAGACATCAAACAACCCAATAATCATGAGACTAACCATTTATCAAATGGTGCAGGATTTTTTTCCATCCGCAGTATATTCTGGTATTAAGCATCATTGATGATGATGAATTCATATGTTTTTTTCGCCATAGTTGGTGCTGTTAGTAATATTCCCGGAGATTTTCGTGGAATTAGTTATATCATCATTGTTTGGTTAGCATTACTGGCTGACCTACAATATATTTTTTTGGTAGTTTATCCAAACACAATACCCTTCAAACCCTGTATAAGTTGCCCTATCCTGTTTTGTATTTTTTCTCCGGCTTAGACTCATTAACTACCAATTACCACTTTATCACTTTTTTGGGGGTTACTGCAAATCCCCACTTTTGGGCTGGTCAGATTAGGTAATACGGATCCCCAATGCAGTGATTACATGTAATTCTTGGGGAATGGGATGCGCTCTGAGGATCAACTGCGGCAACAACTTTGAGAACGACGTGGTGGTGGAATTCAACAAGTGCGCTCTGAGCGCCAAGAAATGCCCCTTGGCTTCAGACTTGGCTGTTTCTACTGGACATGGCCAGGTTTGGGATCTTAAAATGTTTCAGTGGTTTTACTTTCGTAAAGCGTTGATGCTTGGCCACCCCGGTGTCAGAAAAATGGCCTGGATGATCCAACTAGGCTTTTGTTGTTCTCGCCTCTCCAGTCCGTATAGAATGATGGACTTTCAGTTAGCATCAGTTAGTCAAAAACATATAACACCGGAGGGACAATGAAAAACAATCATTCTAGATTGCTACAATAGGCTATGGACCCTTGATGACCCTTGCAACTGCAACACCTGGGCTACCGTGCGGCTATATAAGTTATATATTGGTTATATTAGAAAAGGGCCATATTCCTATAACAAAAAAGCATGGACCTGAAGGATTCGTAGGATTTGTTGCTTCAACAACTCATTTCAACTCCAATGATGGATCGATCGGATCGATGGGATCATCCAATCCTCAGCTGCCCAGGTGTTCCACAACGACCCGACAAGGGGCCAGCGCCAGGGGACTCGAAGTGGGATCCAATCAAGGGCCGCTACCCCGCGCCGCCGCCCGAAAGCGTCAGCGTGACTTGGACCGAAGCGGTGGATCAAATGGAGCCAAGATGGGAATGGGTGCGAAATGGGTAGTGGAACATCTGAACTTGTGGACTATTCTGTTCATTTTTGGGATATACACTGCCGAGAAGAGGGTTTCAACCCACATTCAGATGAACATGTACGGAGATGGACCAGGAGTGGGAACTGCCCAAGTCTTAAACAAGTGCACCACTGTCCCGGTTCCTCGCAGCGAGTGACTCAGGGCGACTTCGAAGTCCAGAAGATGACAGGGCGATGGTACATCACAGCTGGTCTGAAGCCTCAGGTTGTGGTGAGATCTCGGGAATCCATGGGAATCTTCATCCAGCGCACAGCGACATTGGATGAAATCGGGTTCTTCAAATGGGCTGGGCAAGGCTTATTGTTTCAGAAAAATGGACCACACAATTTCAATTTAGCTACTACTAGTGCTGTTTGTTTGTATTATGTTGGAGATTTTTAATTGTCAGAAACCAATTCACGCCTGCCGTCTTTTCACAGGATTGCAGAGTCAGAGTAAGAGATTATATAAATGAACTAAGAAACAGAGTGCGATGGCTGCAGTTCCAATATGTTCCAAGCATTTCCAAGCACTTTCAAGGCCCATTTTCTGAGGTCTCAACCCGTTGTTTGACACCTTCGACTGCCAAGTGCATTTCTTTGAAGGCACCTGGCCGGCTTTCCAGGGTGATGTGCTTTTTGCCAGTTGATCAAATCGTCAGCTTGACTGCTTGAAACTTTAATGTTTGTTGCTGCAATTGTGTGTTCTTTCCCGTTTGATTTGGTTCAAACTCCGCCATGTTGGTGAATCAAATCACCCATGTTTCTTGATCAGATCATCCATGTTTGCTTGGTTGTTGAAATCCCCTTCTTTGCACATGGTTGCTGATGAAATCTCCGTGTTGGTTGCTTGACTCCCCTTTTTGTTGTTTAGATCAGTTATAGTAACCCCGAAAAGAATCAGAAAAGGTACAATGGATAATCCTACTGAAATAGTGAAGAACTCCTTTCCTATTGCTTTCAGGGTTGCTATAAACATCTATAAACATATATTAAAACTACATGTTTTAACATGTTTTAACATTTTTTTTTAAGCGCACCAATCCCCACGCCTTTCCTCCAGGCATGGCCCCCACGGAGAAGTCTCCTGGTCGCCTTGTGGGGAAGATCAATTGGCGCATCAACGAGGTGGGTTTTAACATGTTTTAACCACTCGGTTGAGGGGGATGCATGCCCCATACCCTCTGGTAAACTAACAGTTCGCTATTGAAAATGGCCCAATCGAAATAGTGGATTTACTATATTTACTCATTAAAAATGGCGATTTTTTCCATAGCTATGTTTGTTTACCAGAGGGTATATGGTGGTTTCCATTTTTATGGGGGATCCAAAATAGTTGGTTTATAATGGAAAATCCTATGACCATGGATGATTTGGGGATACCCCTATTTCAGGAAACCTCCATATTTCTGGGACAATTGCAGTGACCTCACTGCGACCTCACTGGAATCATGGTTAGTAAGGGGAATTATCCCAATATGGTCTCATTTCAGGTTAATTTGCCCAGATTTATGGCAAATTTATGGGGGGATATGATGAACCACCACCGAAGGTGGATGTATGATGATGTATGGATCACAACAGGCTTATAACCAAGAATGCATATATCATATGTGAATGTTTGAGAATGACTCGGGCACACATGGAGTTGTTCACCATCCATCTCAAGTTTTGTGGCTTCAAATGATGTTTAGTTCATTTTTTCCCTCAACCGTATATGACTTCCAATTCCTAAGACCTTTTAGCAGGGTTGCAACCACCCATTCGACCCGCCAGGTGGACGGCGAGTTCATCTCAAGGTCCACGGTGCAGAGTTTCCTGGCCATAGACACGTGGATCATGTTGGCAACCCGATGGCAGGTAATACCACCCATACCTGTGGTGATGTTGGGGATGTTTTATGATTTGGGGTTTACCACTCATATTAGTTACATCGACATCCACTCCATTGAACTTGAAATATCTTGAAATCGTTCTGCCAGGTCTTTGGTTCAACGCATTCACAAGTTTTTTTTGCCAGCTCCAGCTCTTTTGGAGAGTGGAATCGGGTGAGATTTTGCTGCAGAGGTGACGGAGAATCCGTTGTTTCTTTGTTTCAATGCAGCAATTCATGCAGTGTATCCGTCAAAGGATATCAAAGGTATGTCCGAAATGAATTTGAAAGGTCATTTCACCCGAAGGCAACGATTCTGAACCCAGATGATTGTTGAAAGGTGCTTTCACAGCCTGATATCGAAAGGCTTTGAATTAGTAATTAGTTGCTTTTAGTTTGTTGGTTGTCTTGATTTGCGTTTGGTCCTCATAATGAGTGTTTAACGGGTCTTTGTTCTTGACATGCCACGGTGCAAGCATGTCCAAGCTCAATGAGATGTCTCAAAATTGCAAAGCGTTTCTTGGTTTCTCGAATTTCTTTCGCCAATTTCAAAGGGTAATTTATGGTTGGCTCGAGCCCTACTGTAAGAGTTTGTGGTCAGATCTGTCACATCTGAAATGTCCTGAAGCTTGTTCGCCACCAAAGACAAATGGGTATGGGTCAATACCTATAGATACATTTTTAGTGGGATGAACATCCATTTACCAGCTATTTTGGGGTTCACTAGGTGCCAGGGTTTTGACCCATCCCCAAATGAAAAGACGAGATGTTCCCCAGGCTTTGTTCAGACAGAACCTGGCCTCTTATTGAACCGCGGCAACGAATATTTGAACTATCAGGATGCTCCTTGGCTGCGCCCCAGGTCACCCAGAATCCGGGCCACTCTGCATGTTGTCTTTGAACGGGTTCCACAGTCAGATGATGTCAGATGGTCAAATTTCCGGGAATCAAATGGCCTGAAAATCACCTCAGGATTGGTATGTCTTGGACCACGGTTTCGAGGATGATCCGGAACAGGGTTTCGTTCTGATCTACTACCGTGGCCAGAGCCTCGTCAGATGTTGGATGATGCCATGACCATCTCGCCACGTGCAACGTTTTTGTGGTGTGCAGGGTGGCTCAACCAGACAACAAACATCCCCAAAATGGCAACCAACAAATTGGGCAATGGTGACCGTTTGTCAATGTTTATCAATTAAATTGCCACATATTGCCACTAAGTCTCTCAGTATTCGGTATTATTCTCCACTTTCACCTTTCTTGGACCTTGGATGACCTCAGTTCCCATGGGATCCCGCCCAGGAACGACGCCTGGGCCGGCTACGGGGGTGGCACCTTGTACACGCGCTCCAAGACCATCAGTCCGGAGGTGCTGGAGCGAGTTCGCGAGGCCACGGCCAAGGCGAAAGTGCCCTATGACAAGTACTGGAAGGCCGATGGGATGATGGGACCCCTGGGATCATGGGAGGAGTTGATGGAGGTGATGTCTATGGTCAACAGATTATTCCATAACCAAAACATATTGTTCTGTTCTCACCATGGAGGTGATGTCTAGATCTGTAGGATCTGTAGCTGTAGACGTAAATGCCATTTTCGACGTAGATATGCAAATATCCTTGAATATCTATAGATTGCTTAGATGGCACAATGTTGGGATAGAAGTGGAGGTTTTGGGGGTTCTGTGCCAATGTTTTGCAGGGTTGATTTTCGAAGGATAGATGTGAGGAAACCCAGTGAAATTTAAGTGGCAATAAATTTATTTTATGATACATATCAATATCTTATGATATCTTATGCATTTCATGACCAATGTTTTGCTACACTTTTTAACCTATCTGCGCCCGCGTTCCCGGACTTCACAGGTTCGTCAACGAGGTTAGACATCCGAGCCTTCACCCCCACGTTTCACTGTCAGGTGACAGACAACACGTGTGCGGCGGAAGGGGATCCAGCCAAACTGCGAACCATCTACGCCGAAAAGGTGTTGGAGCAGGCTAGAATGATTGACAGACTAAGTGATTATATAAATGGATCATAGTGGATCTAAGTGGGATGTCATAATATATCCCGTGGCGATTCAAGTCCCATTGTTGTTGGTTGATGTTGCTTGATGTTGGTTGATTACAAATCCACACCCGCGATTTGATTGTGTTATTGTTAAAAGCACTTGCACGATTTCATAGGTGGTAATTCATGGTAATTCGCTCTTGCTGGCTTTTACTATGAAAGAACATCCCCTGCTTATGAGGCCCCCATTTAATGAACATATCCAGGACAAATCATCAGGGTGCACTCTCCAACCTGTGGATCGGCTGACAAGGTTAAGTCGAAACTATCCCTATTGGTTGTGTTTGTTTTTTGGGAACATCTCACTTGTCAGAGGCACGTTTTCACACCATATGTTCTTCATCTTTGATAGTTTTTTCAATCACTCGTCACACATTTTTTGATTTTGTTTTTTTTGTTAACGTCAAATTAGCATAAATTTCTCCTTCATTGTGAATCAAAGAAGTGACTTAAATTCTTTCACGTTGCCGTCCAGGCGGAGATGGGATTCGAGGAGCAGCTGGCCAATACTTAAGATCCCTCATTGGGGGTGTTATTTGCGCTGAATGCCGTTGCTCTGAAGACTTGGGAACCTTTTTGCCTTCGAAAACGGTTGGGGATTGCCATGGCTGCCTGCTAAGAGGGTAGGTTCGTATCAGTTTTGACCTTCCGTTTTTTTAGGGCCTTCCTGCTTTGAAGCTTGAAGGTCCCTGTTTGCGTCATTAAGACGCTGCATCCTTATAAAGATACATTCCTGGCACAGGCCTGGCTAAACAGACGAGTCTGAAGAGCTACTTTGCTTTGTAATTAGTAGCTATTCTTCCCAAGCATCCTTGAGATGGTAGGAAGCCTTCTGACAGAGTCTTGAGATGTGTCAAACATATTTATTAAATTTTATTAAGACCTACCCGGGACAATCATCCCAATTGACAACATAAAAATCATGGACTGCATGTTTCACCGCCTTTACTTCCAGAGCCATGGAGGCAAATGAGGCAATTTAGGACGGGGCTAAAAACGCCTAGGCAGTTAACCCTGCTGGCGCGGAGCACCATGAACAAAGTGGATCAGGAGCCGAGGGTGCTTCTTACCTTTGACCACCAATGCTTACCTGCTACCCTTGAGAAGCACAGCGAGTTGGAATCGCCAAAAAACCCAATGGAACCTCCCATTTTTTCCCAGTGAGTGGCCCACATAGGTCTGCAGGTAGAGATTTGAGATCATTTAGTTAGTGCAAGGGTGCTGTTCTGGAAAGCCACAATGAGCTGTGGATATTTTAACGTTGTGGGCCTGGGGAAAGCATGGGAAAGCAATATCCTGATTGTCACCAGGACCTTTTCTTTTGTGATTCTCCCATGCAAAATTGACATTCTCAACATGAGGGAGCATGGTACTGCATCCCCCTTTGTTATATGTATATATATATATCAATATTATACTTGGTTCTGCCACTCACCTTTTCGGGTTTCTTGACGCGTATGACATGGGGTCAGGAAGAAAAACTCATCGTAGACGCGGCCAATAGATTGGAAAAGAAGACTGAGGTCCTCGACGCGGGACATTGCCGGGGGACCAGAATGACACCATGATGTGATGTGAAATCATGTGAACATATGTGAACAGTGTATTTGTATTAGCAGTAATGTTAGCAACTATACAACCATAACCATAGTCCTAATATTTGTAGTAGTCTAGCTATATGTTTACCACACACACACATATATATATATCATATGTCTCTATTTGTTGATTTTGTTTAAAGCATTGGCATCATGGCTGTCGTGAGACGGTGTAGCTCCAGACCAACCCTCTCACCCTGACCTGCGTCTGCCAGAAATTTGTGCGGGAAGAGATCAATGCAGGTGAGCAAGCGATGCTTGGTGAGTTTTTGGTGACAGTCATGGTTTTAAAGGTGTCCTGAAATGGCATCATTTACTATACAGCACGCATTTTTCATGAGTTGATGGGAATTGTGTTGTCGTGTGTTTGGTCTGTTTGGTCAAGGCTTTTTGGTACCATGATCACCTTGAGAAAAGCCCCCAAGGATCGAGGATAGTGAGCTGGCGTGGCTTGGCAGATGGGCCCATTGCTGATTGTGAAATCTTATGAAGACTTTTATGCAACACATGATTAACGAACGGTTGACATATTAACACGTATTGACACAAAAGACCGTTTTACAGGGCATGCCCCCAGATGCGGGTGGCTCTAACCATCTTTAAAACACCATCATATCTAGCAGCTGCAGCCTACCATGGCCAGTCCCATCAAGGTTCGAGGCGCCCATTCGAAAGTTGAAGGAGTTCTTCAAGCCCCGGAGGTGATGCAGGTGCTGCAGGCAGGGGCCAAAAGGCAAATCATAACATATAAAATAGGAGGGCCATTTATTTAGGGTTTTTTTTTTTTTAGTTTAGGGAATTTTTTTTGGATTTCTTCCTGCTTACTCTATTGCCTCCTGCAGTGCTTCTCTGCTTCTTTCCTTCTATTCCTTTTTTTGCTTTTCTTGCTTTTCTTTGCTTTTTTGCTTTTTTGCTTCCCTTGCTTTTCTTTGCTTTTCTTTGCTTTTTTGCTTTTTTGCTTTTCTCGCTTTTCTGCTTTTCTTTGCTTTTTTGCTTTTCTTGCTTTTCTTTGCTTTTTTGCTTTCCTTGCTTTTCTTTGCTTTTTTGCTTTTCTCGCTTTTCTGCTTTTCTTTGCTTTTTTGCTTTTCTTGCTTTTCTTTGCTTTTTTGCTTTTTTGCTTTCCTTGCTTTTCTTTGCTTTTTTGCTTTTCTCGCTTTTATGCTTTTCTATGCTTTTTTGCTTTTCTTGCTTTTCTTTGTTTTTTTGCTTTTTTTGCTTTTCTTTGCTTTTTTGCTTTTCCATGAGGTGTGGAGCAACATCAACAACAACAACACCAACAACAACAACAACAACAGCAACAACAACAACAACACCAACACCAACAACACCAACACCAACAACAACAACAACAACAACGACAACGACAACGACAACAACAATAACAACACTATCAACACAAACACAACCGCCAGCAACAACACCACCACCACCACCACCAACAACAACAGCAACAACAACAGCACCACCACCACCAACAACAACAACAACAGCAACAACAACAACACTAACACAACACTAACACAACACTAACAACACTAACAACACTAACACTAGCAACACTAACAACACTAACGGTAACAACAACAACACTAACAACAGCAACAACAACAACACCACTAAACAACAACACTAACAACAGCAACAACAACAACACCACTAAACAACAACAACAACAACAACACCAACACCAACACCAACAACAACAACAACACCAACAACAACAACACCAACAACAACAACGACGACAACAACAACAACAACACCACCACCACCAACAACAACAACAACAACACCACCACCAACAACAACAACAACACTAACACAACACTAACACAACACTAACACAACACTAACACAACACTAACACAACACTAACACAACACTAACACAACACTAACAACACTAACAACACTAACATTAACACTAACAACAGCAACAGCAACAACACGACCACCACCACCACCAACAACAACAACACCACCAACAACACCAACACCAACACCAACAACAGTAACAGTAACAACAAACAACTGTTGGAATGTCAGCCTTCAGCTCCAAAATCCTGCAAGTACTGTGAGGAATGTAGCTGTAAAATGTTGCACATACGGTGGAAATGCAGATTCCAGCTCAAAAATGCTGCAAAGAGCATGGAAAATGGACAGAACATGCTGCAAACTGTTGCAAATACCGTGGAAAATACAATGGAAAATGAGAGGTTCGAACTCAAAACCGTTGCACATACCGTGGAAATGGCAGTTTCCAGCTCCAAAATGCTGCAAAAGCATGGAAAATGGTGAGAACCGGAAATCCAAAAAAAATTCCCCAAACTAAAAAAAAAAATCCCCAAACAATTTCCTACCCTATAAAATATAAATCATCTATAGACCATTTTCCATAGCTACATTTACTGTAATAGCCAGAGGGTACCAACTACCAACCGGTTTTTTTCCAGTTCCAGGTAGCTGAAGTCAGTTCCAGTCAGGCCGTGTCAGCATGGGCCATCTTTGAAGTCCTCAGCTGCCGCGACGCGACACATCTTGGAAGCACCCCGAACGGACGCCAGGAAGATGGTGGTCAGCAAAGATGACACATGCGTTGGTTTACCTTTTTTAAACATAGGACGAACTCCTCTCAAAAAGTGGACAATTAGGATATATATATATAATTATATATACGTATATAAGTTTCCAAGACTATCCCAGATGTGTGACTTGTACGGTTTCTTTGTTGCGATTCTGGCATCGGGGTGCTCCTTAGTTCGCTGGCCGTCAGGGCCGCACACTGCGTGGAGGGCGCAGGTTTTTCTGCCTTGGGGCACGAGGTAGCAAGAAAGGTCCCAGCCCATGAGTTTCATGGAGACAAAAAGGAATCTGGTCACCCAAGTGGAGGA